ACTGCATGGCAGGTACTGAAGGGAAAAAACGATAAAAAGATAACACTTTTTTTTTTTTTCCTATGAAGAGCTTTTTCTCTGATCCTCATATGCCAAAAGCTAGGGTGTTTTTCCTTTCTTTTCTGCCTAACTTAGCTCCTTGTCTGGAAATTAAGCAACAAGACTCTACATACAGAATAACATTTTGACTTCCTAAGGAAATACCACTGAAACACTTAGTACTGTTTGATATCTCTCTTGGGAAAGCAAAACACATTTATTAAATCATGCATGCTAACTCCAAAAGCCAACAGAAGGAAATAACTGCTTTATTCTTTGCACTGAGGTTTTGTACAAACAGGTACTGTCACGGATTGCTGCGCACTGATCCGTCTGCGCTGACGCCATGTAACGCTGCATCCTGAAAGGATCTTCAGGCAGTATCACTGTATTTTACAATCTACCCTTCACGTTCCAGCTCTATCACATACTCGTACAAATTACCCGCTGCCATGCTATTTAAAAAAAAAAAAAAAAAAAAAAAAAGCTCTGATTTTGAATACGTTTCAAATTTCCCTAGGCAATTATATGCTAATTTCCAGAATACACTTCACCTAATATTAGTATTGCATGAAGATGAAACAGATGATCTTTATAAACACTTCTGTGCAACCACAGAGGTTTTGGTGTGTTTACCTTATTTCTACAGCACAACAAAACCAATTACGTGGCTGGGCTTGGAGAGATCTGCACATGCATCCAGCAAACCTGGCTTCAGCTGCCAGCTTCAAGCTCTTGATCTTACTCATTTGCCAAAGTGGAATATGAAAGGCCACATCACTCCCGGCACGTATTATCAGTCAGGCTTTACAGCGTGACTTGCCTTAGCTATGGCAACCCTCTGGGCTCAAGGCAATCCTCAGCTGCACGCACCGAGTGCCACCAACAAACCGTCTCATCTCCAAGGACTCAGGGAGTAGCCAAAAAGGAGGAATAGGATTATGGAAGACTTATGGCCACCGGGAATTTGAGATTTCAGATGGACGTAATTTCTCCCACTTCCAGACACCTATCTCCCCAGCTACGTGGTTCTCCAAATTCAACTTTCTTTCCCAGATCCTACAAGAAGGTGGGAGACAGCTGCTAAGCCACAGGGAACAGCCAGCAGAGATCAGCTGGACGGTGGGGCCAGAGAACCTGTACTGCCAGATTAAAGAGGAGATTTTCAACTGCCTGAAGTTGGCTTCAACACTTCATATGATGAGTAGGAAGGTGCAAAAAAAATCTCTTTCTCTTCTGCACAGAGTGGAAGGAGGACGTTAATGGTCAAATGGATAACAACATTCCTCACAGCACTGTGAACTAATGCATTACCTCAATTAAAAAATACATGCAAATTTTTTTTGGTACTCCCCCCCGCACTGCCCCCCCCCCCCCCACCTCGCTTGTTTTTTTTCTTGCAGCTTTTTTTTTTTTGTTTTTAATAAAGTGTTCAGGCTATTCCAGCACTAAATGTCACCATTACTGAGATTATTGCAATATCACAAAAAGGAGGTAGGTAGGACCTGATGGGAAAAGCATGCTAGCTGGACTAGAAGCAGGAAAAGAAGTGGCACATTTACTCCTCACCTCCTTAGACACACTTGTAAGATTCAATTCCACACCTGTAATTTCCTAGAGGACAACATAATATCTGAGGAATTATAGTCAGTGATCCTGAGAGTTCGAGTTCAGGTTTTAAATTGACAGCACGAGTTCTGGCTTCAGATACAGAAATTCTTGAAAAATTCCCATCATGACAGGCGCATATACACAGAGAAAGAAACTACAGAAGTGATGTCCTAGACTGAAGAAGCAAATCCAAAATGATTTCATACTGACTTCAACAGATACAGATGGGGATTGAAATGAATATGAGAAGACGCCCTCACCACTTTTTTTATTATACTAATGGTCTGTATAGAATGACACACTTCCAAAAAACCTGGCAATAAAGATTCAGGACTTAACACTGATCAAATACATTTTTAATTCAAAACAAACAACAGCAAAAGAGACCATTCCACTCATCTATCAGGCTACAGAACGAGGAGGAAGGCACGCGTCCTCCTGTGGAACATTTCGCGGTGGTGGATCTCATGCTCGCCAAAGGAAGCCAATGTGTAACAGCGCGGTAAATAGCCAACAAATCTCTGTAGTTGTTTTTTTTTTTTAAGTAAAACTGCAACCCTTCAAGTCTTTGTTACAGTAAAAAGGAAAAAAAAATCAAAGGAAGCAAAAGGTCCTCCGTTCTGTATAACCATATTTCTGATTTGACAGCTACAATTATAATCATTCCGACATCTATTTCCCACAAACTCTCCACAGCCATAACCTTTAGTGATTAATTATAAAGTTCCAGGAGAAATAGTACACAGACTAATTTCCTAAAACAATAAAAGACAGAATTTCTCATTTGGAGCTAAATGAAACACGAACAGGTTGTTATTCATGCTGAAATCTAGATGCAGAGTCATGTTGCAGCCATTACAGAAGCTATTAAACACAACCTCAAATCAAAGAAACTGTAGGTCTCTCTCCTAAAATAAAATGTTGTTCTCACTTATGAGGCTTCTGACTCCTTTGCTCTGTTTCTTTTTACCTCTTCTTAGTAAAAAAAATTTCAAAATTCAATTTTCTTTCTCATTTCGCCTCCCCATTTTGTTTTTAATAGTCATTTAAACTGTAAGAGTCTAGAGCAAAGCAAACACTTGGTAAAGGTTTCATGCACACAGAATTATCATGGCGTTCTCTCCACAGTGAATCAAAGTTACAAAATATATATATCAACTTCTAAACAAAATGCCCAGTCTCTCCATGCCCTACTGCAGCCTCCAATGAGTTTTCTTTAGTGAGTATTTGATTAATTCCTCCATTATTTTGGATAGCAAAATGTATAACTTTTATATTCCTTTCATTTTGGTTTTTGTTTTGACACATCCTGCTATACCAGCTTAATGTAAATCTTTAAAAAATGATCCTCCCATAAAGAGAGAAGCCACGCATCACAAAAATGATCCTAATGTTGACATTACAGGTAATAAAAAGAGGGGAAATTGTGGGTTTTAATATGATTAGTAGTAGTTATTTTTGTTAAGGACTTATTTCTCTGTCTGCAAGCAACTTTGGCACTTAATCCAGCAAATTTGCTCTTGCCAATTTTACTGAATTAGGCAACAAAAAGGGGAAAGAATTGAGAAAAGATCTTTACGTAACTGACACCATACCCTTATCCTTGGGCCCCCCTGTAACTTCAGCTTAAGTCAGTGGGAATTTTTCCAAGTATTTAAATTGCTATTGAGTCAGTTGTAGAACTCATTGAATTGCTAAACCACAGAGAACTTTCATTTAATATGCACACTCCTGACGTACTGTCGAAAGGCTGGTATGATAGTCCCCCATAAAACTTGTCAAGGAGGTACCTAAAATAATACTATTAAGGTACTGTAGATTCTCCCAAGATGGAGGATTTGCCATATCAGGTAACACGCCGAACCATGAACGCTCAAATTAGCAAGCTTTTGTACAGCAGCTTTTAAAAACCCTAATACTAATCCTGCATCTTCCCCGCACGAAGCATCCTTACTTTTCTGTAGGAATTCCATCTTCAGTCATATTAGCATTCGGTGAAACTTCATAATTCATTTTGAACTATATACAGACTATGAGAGTTACACAAACTAAATACGCTTTTTCAGTGCTTTTTTCCTGAATTCAATACGCACTAATTGATTGGGGTCTGAGAGGTGAATAAGAAATACATATCCTACATAACGGAAAGCTGGGGAAGGGTTTAATGCATGAATTAGAAGCCAGATTTCTTCAATACAGATGAGTACACAAAATTAGCAAAAGGCAATACCACTTTTGGAAAGACTGCTTTGTGCATAATTTGTCATGAATTCAAAGTTATTCCTTTAGAAAATGAGTCTAAGACCTCCCAGCTGCTGCTTTATTGGTCTAATAAATTACCATTTTGATGGTACAATGCCTATACTCTATACACCATCCAAGCAAGCAAACTGTTAGAGCGGCTTCGCCTTTAGAGACGCATGTGTGACTTCAGAGACGTGCGAACGCCGATGGGAGATCTGAATGCAATGAGGGATCAGACACTGCCTCTCTTCTTGAATTGATAATGAAAACAAAGGATGCATAAGTTTCCAAACCCATAAGAGTGTATCGTAGGATTGTTTGTGTCACAAAAAGTGAGTCCAAGTGAATCTGCCCTTACTGTAATAGGTATCCAGCAGCTTTCTGAGACAAAATGGATCGATCTCATTCTAGGTTCTATACACTACCCAAGTAAAAATCTCTTCTATTCACCTGGAAAGAACAGTAGAATAAATAATAAAGATATCCTCTTCCAACAACCCATTTCTGACTTAAACTTTGAACCCTATTCTTGCACAGTATAGACTGAACACGTGTTCAGCGTCAGTGTCTTCCACCCAAGGATATTCCAGCCAGGTGGGCCATAACAAACATTTATCATGACTCTCCTTCCTAGCAGTGGTTTGCAAATATCCATTCAAGGAAAAAACAAAATGCAGAAAAGGCAGAAAGTTGGTGATTCAGCATCCCCTACTTTACCTTTCTCCAGTGAACTGTGGGTTCCAGCAACCCGACATTTTGGAAACTTTCCATCATTTACAGGAAAACTCTAGACTCACTGTATTATTGCCAACAGAGAAGTCTTTTGTATCCTCAAATATATTTAGGGAACAGTTTAAAATGTCTGTATTCTAACATAGTGAAAACAAACCCTCACCACTATTTTTCAAAAAATTAATGAAGTCTGTTAGGAGGAAAACTGGAGGAATACTGGAGGAACGGGTGCAGTAATTTTGATTTGACACTGGTAGAGCAATGCTTACAAAACAGAAGAGCACAAGAATTTGAGATATTGTTTGTTTGTTTGTTTCCCAGGCACAGGAACGGGTGTTAAGAGCTCCCCTACAGCTCTCACGCGCGTTACTTACCTGCATTAGAATTGAGCTCTTCATTTTCCGATTCTGTTCCGTTTTGACTACCACTTCCATGAAGGCTATTCATTGCCATAAGCTTCATTTTCTGTAACTTCATAGCTTCTGCCATGGCAGCCGCTGTCAGACCTGGCAAAATATAAAGAAAGAAAATGCAGTATTATACCATACAATACAGCACTGACGAATATGAAGAACAAAACAATTCCTTTTAGTGAGAATAAGTCACATAATTTCAATACACATTCTTAGTCCAGTTACGTAATGTTATTCTGAACATTAAAGTTGAGTTATTTCAGTACACCATCCTAAGGATTTTTTTTTTTATCTTTCATGTTTCTTTTTCTTTTTTTTTTTTTTTTACATAAAGAAGCATTTATTTCATGGTATCCCTTTTGATTATACTTTTAAATATCATTTCCTGTCACTTTGATCATTTTGTCACTTTGATCACTTTCTGCTTGACTTATTTAGCTGCTACAAAATTTCCAAGTGCAATGTTAGAAAATGTTAGGAAAGTACAGTATGGGTGATTACAAAAATCAATCCCACCTTTAAGAGACCATTAAGACCAGCAAGAATTTACAGAATTAAGGAGGGTCAGTGGTAGCAGATTTTCAAGTGACTAAACCCCAGTTAATTTCCAACAGTAAAAGAGAAGAAGCAGAGTAGCATCAAGCTACAGGTTACCATCATTACCATATTTTATTATTATTACTTAGATGCCCAATACCTTTTTTTTCATAAGAGGAAGTTTTATCATTTTGACTTGGCCAGTAAATAAGAGATCAGATTTTCTTCCTGACAGTATGAAATTACTTTTACTCTGGGCAAGATGTGACTGAAAATATCTAAGTTCATCTCTCTTGCAGGAAAACACCGGGGATAAGGCCATGTAACCAAAAAGGCCTCTACAGGTGCAACCATCTATTCATTCAGTTATGGATTAAGTGGGTTTACCGTCTTCCTCCCAGTATAGATGACTTGCTTTTGTCATTTGCTAAAAAGCAAGCTAAATGCTTCGTATGGGCTAGCTCGTAATCGACTGTGCGATACTTCCACAAAATCTCTGAATTGCTTTTACCAAAAAGCCCGCGACTTTTTGGTGGTGGTGCATGTTCTATCAACCCACAAAGATACCACACATCAGAACAGAATTAAATAATCTGCTGTTTCTGCAAAGTACTGTTTACTGAGAGATTAGATACTGATTAAGGTGAACTAATAATTTTCACACCCTATACTGCCACACATCCATAAATCAGAATACTTCCTTTTAAAAGCTGCTATGAATTTGACATTTAGATTAGCTCTGCTGCTCCTTTAATAGGCTTCACAAAAGTTCTCATTATTTTAATGTGACTTAAGAAAGCAAGTAATCAATAGCCTCCAACTGCATGGAGGAGGGACACCTATTACCACAGATGGATACAGCAATTCGGATAACTTCCGCGAAGATATTCCTGATTGGCATCTGTTAGCTGGAGATGAGAGGTGATGAGACAGGAGTTCCAAGCCCTCTTCTCTCCCAGCCGTCTGTCCTCTTCTTCCATCTTGCCCAAGAACCCCTCAACATCCACAAAACCAAACTGCAGTTACGCATTCCTACATTCCCAAAGCACCAATGCCAGACTTAGCAAAGATTATCTACGCTCATTAAGCACTTGTTTTACTGCTTTGTCACCGATACATGAAAAACTACATTGATTTCATTAATATACACTAAATACTAACAGATAAAAGTAGCTCCAAAAAACACCATCGACAATCTTGTCTTTTAGGTCGTTTAATGCAGTCCTCACTTCATACAGAAGATCACCATACCGTAACAGTAGTCACTTCTTATCTAAAAATATTTTTTTTCTAACACCCTTTAAGGTTCTTTTGCAAATGCTATAGGTTTTTTTACCAAGCAGATACAAAATCTTCATGTTTAAACTCCTGTTTTTACAAATTCTCTGGCTGACACCACTCATTCTTCATCCATCACAGAATACATCTGCAACGATAAAACTGTTCACATGCTTTCTGGAGAAGATGAAATAGTCTATAAACTTTTCTGCTTTTTTTCTAGTGAAAGGAGGTGGGGTTGCTCTTTGAGGGAATTTCACATTATTTTCAGGAAGTTCAAAACCCCAAGCATCAGCACAAGCCTTCTGAGGAATTTACCCGTTTCAAGATTTCCAGGCACCTGGGGGATTTCCCTGCCTGCCCTCACATCTGCACTTTTCCTCCTTATCCCAACCAATTCCAAGTTTTGAGGTACAGTCATCACTAAAGCATTTTCAGAACCTGCACCCACTCACAGCCTACTCTATTTTCACTTTATATTTCTAATCAATTTGCAAAGAATTCACATTTATTTTAAAGGTTACAAAAAATACAGAGTCTGAACACGGAGGTTTTTATCATAACATTTTATCATTTGTAATTACCCAAATATGTATAGATGAACCAATTTCCCAGTAGTTATTTTCAACTGGCTTAGTATTTATACAAGTTCTTGATACTCTAAGTCATAGAATTTTACTTAGTTTAACTATACAATAAACTATTCATAAGAAGATAAACAGGGAATGGAAACTGAATTCAGACCTTTAGTAAAATGTTCAGCGAAAAGACAAGACAAAAAATTATCCAGGGCACTGTATAAAAAACCCCATAACCACAAACTTCCACGGAACAGTTGTATCAGAAGCATAACGAAGGCAGAAAGGGTACCAAGGAACCAAGAGAAAAGAATAAACACAGTCCCCAAATCACCACGAGGCCGCCTGCAGAAATTAAAGGTAATTATTGTCAGGCATTTTTGAGCTCCCTAACCAGACACAGCTGCCATAAGGACAACAGCCAAAAAACAGTGATGTATCAGAAATCTCTGCTGTGCCATCTGCCACACCAAAGTCACTCCGCTTCAGCGTTTAAAGTTTAAAGAGTAAAGCCCAGAAAGCGGTACAGCCTGAAGGTCCCGGGCGGTCAGGCGTAAGCTGGAAGCAGATACAGCCGATGCTACCTCTACACTCAGGATCAGCAAAGTCCTTACGCTCTCACTGACTTATTTCCCAGTCTATATAATTTCTTACTTGAATTGTGACAGCAGAAAAAGCCTCCGACTGTATGAGCCACTTCAAAAACAGGGTACTAATTCTTCAGCATTTCTGAAAGCTAATAAAATTGAGGTTAAAGCAAATGGTTTCAGCAGCGAGGGTGTGCTACTGATTGAAATGATGGAAGAAAACGTACAGCAAATCACCTATTGGCATAATTTTCAATTAAGGCTACTGCCGCGGCTACCGTTACTGAAGCTACTATTTAATTTAACTATTAATAAAACTCCTTTTTATAATTGACTCAGCTCCGGCTAGCTGTGGCGAAGAGGGCTATTCTTCAACTGACTTATCTAAAGATCTACAAAGAACTGAAGAATCATTTCCATCCTCTCGGATGAATGATTAGCAGCAGCAGAATCTCACTTAGAGCACCACCTCACTTTGAAAAATGCACTTGAAAACCGCTGTAGCGTTTACATCTACCCCTCTAATTTCACCTTAAAAAAAAAAAAAAGGATGGCTAGGAAAAGCGACATGCTGGATTATATACTTCAAAGCTTCAGTTTTTTTTCTCGCTGTTTACACTTTAAATTTCCCTTCCATCACTAAACACCCAGGAAATAAACTGTGTACCGCTTGTTATCAAATATATGCGATATATACGATACTAACCAGAACACCACCCAAAGGAGCATCAGTCTCATCACAATTGCCATGATCTGTTTCCAAACCTGCTAGCGACCGTGTGGCCGGTGGGGCCAGTCCTGGTAGCCCACACCCCACCAGTTGCCTTGGCTGAACCTCTGCAGCTCCGGCAGGAGCGGGTAGGGACCTTGGAGAGGGATGGAGCCACCATCAGCGTCTCGGAGCCAGGCTCTGGGTCAGCTGGATTCCAACCGCCTAACAGATTGCGATGGTGTGCGCTCAGGTACACCTGCATCGTGCATATGGCAAAACAACCCACTGCCATTAGTAATCTTCATTCCGTAATTTCAGTTTTGTCAGGACACTGTGTACTCTCCCCTTGACAAGTCTGCATAACTCTGCTGTACAACACACGAATTTAGCCCTGAGATGACCCTTCAAGGACACACAAACCAGCACACTTAATGCTCGGGTTGCACTGAAGTAAAATTCTACAGTTGTATTCTGAGCCACAGTTAAAATATACTTAAGCACCAAACAGTTTTCACTGTAAGGGCTTTGATCCAAATTAGGATGATATCCAGCTTACTCTGGGGAAGACCCACTGCTTGCGGGGCATCGGAGAGGGAATAGACCCGAATGTGCTGCGGGGTTGGAGCCGCTGAGCGCACCCTCTGCCCCGAAAGCCAAGGCCCCTCTAGGACTTGGGGGGTGTGTGCGAAGAGCAGCGGGGTTTCTCCATCCCTTGCCTGCGTCCTATTAAAGTTAGGAGTTAATCGTTTACTCAGATATCCCCTACATAGACAAAAAGACTACTGAAGGTTATTCCTCTGTGAAGTCCCAGGAATTATTTCAACACAAAAATAAAAAGCATTTTAACTGCACGGCCCAAAGATCACAACTCCACGGGTGCTTGCAGCGTGTCCCCCTCAGGGCCAGTGTCCCGCGGCAGGGCAGGGCTGAGCCCACCCACGTCCCGGGGACAGTGGCTCCTGCCTCGAGTCACCACCACGATTTACTCATCAGCAAATACCCTCTTGGAGATGTTCGAAACCAAAACGCCATTCCAACCCCGCACCGACGTACCGAGGGTGTCTCTCGCATGCGAGTGAATCCCCCATGTTTAACCAATGTCCAGTCACTGGAAATCGGATTTTGATGGTGAATACAAGGACTCTGAGCATTTTAAGGTGACCCTGAGTATCTGCTAATCTTCTACTCTAGCTACAGTTATTTTTTTTCAGTTCTCTAATTAGTTAAGACTGTGCCCCTCCTTCATATTAGTTTGAAAGCTTTTCTGTCAAAACTGTGAACAAGTAAATTAACTAAAGGAGAACTATGAGTAATCAAATCTTGATGTTTGCAATTAATTAAATGAAACGGTGAGTCAGTGAACTGAAGAATGGTCTTATATTAAAACAAAACATTTAAT